TTGTCCGTCCGGCACCACGAGGAGGTAGGGGGTTGTTTTGCCGGACTACACACACACACTGACACACACTGACACACACACTGACACAAGACAAAGACAAAGACAAAGATCCCCCGTATAGCCTTAACAGACTGTAGGGGCAAGTGCTGTTAGCGAGCACCTATGAAGGCCGGAACGGTACACGAGGGGGTGGGGGTGGCCAGCACCACGCCCGACCGCCTTTGTCTCCCCAGTGGCGATGTTTACACACCGCACCAGGCACTCATTTGAGGCTGAGTCGACCTAGGGGAGGCCTGGGACCGGTTCAGATAATCGTCACCGGTGTTGGCCGTGAGCGGGAATCGAACTCGTGTCGCCAGGTTCATAGCGCAGCGCGCTAACCACTGCACCACCGCTCCCCACTACACACAGACACACACACACTGACACACACACACTGACACACACACACAGACACACACACTGACACACACAGACACACACACTGACACACACTGACACAACAACAACAACAACCGCCATTCGCCACTAAGTGGCGGTGACGTCACCACGATGCTTGTGCCAGGCCAAGTGCACCTTGAGGCCACGTGAAGTGTCGAACGCCCGCTGGCAGGAGGTCACGGGGCAGACCCAGGTGCCACGGGTCAACTGACCGAGATGACCGAGATGACTGGCTGATGCACCACCTGTGCCCCCTACTGTACCAACTTGCTGTGCTTTAGCCACCCGGCGCTCCGCTCGTTGTTGTGAGCGTCGCTCCTCCGCCCTCCGTTGTTGTTGGAGGGCGACTGCCTCCAACTGCCCAGTAGCGTCCTTCACGAGCCTCCTCCACTGAGGCCGATCTTGACACCGCTGGTACCAGTCATCGGCAAGTCCACTCAGCTCCACGTCCTCCTGTACCACATCACTCCATCTCTTCTCCAGCCCGTGCCGCGCCCGTCTAGCCCCCTCGATCCGGCCGAACAAAAGCTGTTTAGGCATGCGGTGGCTGGACATGCGGGCTACATGACCCAGCCAACGCAGCCTTGCCTGCCGGAGGAGCTCACTGATGGGACTTTGCCCAGATCTTTCAAGGATTTGTGAGCTCCTCACACAATCCAGCCTGGTTAAACCCAAGATGGATCGTAGGCAGGCCAGCCTAAATGTTTCCAACCGGCGAAGATGCTCCACCAGGGGGGTCCACGTTTCGCAAGCGTAGAGAAGGGAGGGAATGACCGTGGCCGAGAAGACCTGAAGCTTCGTGCGGAGCGACAGACCAGGTAGCTTCCACACAGCGTTACGCAACCGATGAAAATATATTGCCGCTCGACTGATTCGGAGTGAGACCTCTGCTGATAAACTGGAGCCGGTCATAAGCACACTGCACAGGTATGGGAAACTCTCCACTCTCTCCACAACTGCCCCATCACCAATTGGGAGTTGTGGGGGTGGAGTGTCCGATGGTACAAAATACCCAGGCAGGTGCTTAGTTTTGGTGGGGCTGATGGTAAGGCCCCACCTCTTAGTGGCACGCTCCAGTCTCAGCAGCAGCGTCTCCAACTCCTCTTCTGAATGAGCAGCTATTACCAAATCATCGGCATACATAACGTGGTTGACCAATAGGGAGCCATCCCTTGATCGCACCCGGGCATCGATCAGCCTCCCATTATATCTGTACCAAATGGAAATTCCCCCGGTACAGCTATTGAAGGCTTCACGAACTACGCGGTCAAAATAGATGTTAAATAATGTGGGAGCCAGAGGACATCCCTGTCGCACCCCAAGGTGTACAGGGAAAGGCTCCGACTCCCGGCCACGTAGTTTTACCCGGGCCCGCTCACCATCATGAAGGTCTTTAATGATCGTGAGCAGAGGGTCAGGGACTCCGAAAGCACGAAGAACAACCCAGAGCCCAGTCCTACTGATGGTATCATAGGCCTTGACCAGGTCAATAAAGCAGAGATGTAGGTCTTTTTGGAATTCCCTACACCTCTGCTGTAGCAGACGGACAGAAAATATGGCATCTGTGCAGGACCGCCCTTTCCTGAAACCGCATTGGGGCTCCGCAAGCCTCTCCTCAGCGTGCCTAGCAAGGCGATGTTGAATAATCCTTGCCAGGACCTTACCCGGCACACTGAGGAGTGAGATGCCCCTGTAGTTGTTACAGTCGGTACGGTCCCCCTTCTTAAAGAGGGGGACCACCAGGGCATCCTTCCAGTCCTGCGGAACCCGTCCAGTGGTCCAGACTGTTGTTATGATGTCATATAGGGCAGTCTGTGCACAAACGCCACCCTCCCTCAGCATTTCGCTTGGGAGATCATCTCTGCCCGGTGCCTTCCCTGGTCTCAGACTCCGGATCGCCCTCAGTACTTCCTCAACAGCTGGCACCTCAGCCAGCCACTCACAGGGAGTGACCTCTTCCAATATTTGAGGCACCGCAGCCTCAGCAGGGTTATCACCATTTTGTGCCATGATGTTTTCCTGGCTGAGAGAATTTCCCTCCCCCAGGACCTCACAGAAATGCTCAGCAAATCTGCAAACCTGTTCCTGGGGGTCGGAGATTGGATCACCGTTTTTTCCTCTAATGATGGTAATAGGTGTGGCGCTGCAGGTTACTTTTTTGATGGAGTTAAATAGTGATTTGTGATCACGGGCCACTGAGGCAGACTCCATCTCCTCAGCAACCCGCGACCACCACCCATCCTTACAGCGCCTTACGGCTCTCCGAACTTCCGAGCGAAGGCTGCGGTAAACCTCCTCATTCTCTGACGTGGGATGCTGTAGGCGATGAGAGTGGGCCTGTCGCTTTTTCTCAATTAACCTGAACACCTCCTCTGTCAGCCAGGGTTTCTGGGGAGGTCTGGACCGCGTACCCAAAGCAGCCATTGCAGCTGCATGAGTCACAGTCTTAAACCTCGCCCATTTACCCTCGACATCAGGTGGAGTGGGGGACGATGCCAACCCCAGCTGCAAGCGATGATGAAATTCTCGCTTGCAACTTTCATCAGCTAACTGAGACCAGGCCACTTTTGGTTGGAATGGGATCCTGGGTGTACACCCACCACCGGAGTGGAAGAAAGGCAGGCGCATCTTACAGATGACTAGTCGGTGGTCAGAGGGCAGATCAGCTCCACGGTAGGTCCTGGTGTCAAGGACATGGGCTCGCATTCGCTGGTCCGTCACTATGTAGTCCAGCAGATGTTCTTGCTTGGACCCGGCATGTATCCATGATGTTGTGTGGATGCGCCGATGCCGGAAGAGCGTGTTGGTAATTACAAGCCCATGGGCTGCACAAAAATCTAGCAGCCTCCTACCGTTATTATTGAGCTGATCTGGCCCATGCCTTCCAATCACTCCAGACCAGGTGTCAGCATCATGACCAACTCGGGCATTGAAGTCACCCAACAAGATGACTCTGTCCCGAGTGGCCACTTTAGCCAGCACCTGTGACAGGAGGTCATAGAAAGCGTCTGACTCATCGGCTTTGCTTGCATCCCTCCACGGATGTTCGTCTTCGGTGGGGGCATAAGTAACCACGACCACCACTCCTCGCCTCTGGTTGATGGGAAGGCGAGCCCAAAGTATCCTGGGGCTTACAGCTTCCCACACCTCACCGCCACGCTCCCACGCCCCCTTCATTCTTTTGTTCAGAAAAAGAGAAAAAGAGCCACACCCTGTTGTTTGGCAGTCTCCTGCCCCGAGTAGAGGACTGTCCACCCCTCATGATGACAACAACAACAACAACCGCCATTCGCCACTAAGTGGCGGTGACGTCACCACGATGCTTGTGCCAGGCCAAGTGCACCTTGAGGCCACGTGAAGTGTCGAAAGCCCGCTGGCAGGAGGTCACGGGGCAGACCCAGGTGCCACTGGTCGACTGACCGAGATGACCGAGATGACTGGCTGATGCACCACCTGTGCCCCCTACTGTGCCAACTTGCTGTGCTTTAGCCACCCGGCGCTCCGCTCGTTGTTGTGAGCGTCGCTCCTCCGCCCTCCGTTGTTGTTGGAGGGCGACTGCCTCCAACTGCCCAGTAGCGTCCTTCACGAGCCTCCTCCACTGAGGCCGATCTTGACACCGCTGGTACCAGTCATCGGCAAGTCCACTCAGCTCCACGTCCTCCTGTACCACATCACTCCATCTCTTCTCCAGCCCGTGCCGCGCCCGTCTAGCCCCCTCGATCCGGCCGAACAAAAGCTGTTTAGGCATGCGGTGGCTGGGCATGCGGGCTACATGACCCAGCCAACGCAGCCTTGCCTGCCGGAGGAGCTCACCGATGGGACTTTGCCCAGATCTTTCAAGGATTTGTGAGCTCCTCACACAATCCAGCCTGGTTAAACCCAGGATGGATCGTAGGCAGGCCAGCCTAAATGTTTCCACTGACACACACACACAGACACACACTGACACACACACTGACACACACTGACACACACACAGACACACACACTGACACACACACTGACACACACTGGCACGCATATAAACTCGGCAAAGTGACGACAGCAGCAGAATTCTGCGGCAAGGGCCCCGCCTCTCCACGCCCCCCCCCTCCGCTGCTGCTGCCCCCCCCCGCTCCTGCCCCCCCCGCTGCCCCCCCCCGCTACTGCTGCCCCCCCCCCGCTACTGCTGCCCCCCCCCGCCGCTGCCCCCCCGCCGCTGCTGCCCCCCCCCCACGCTGCCTCTCCACCCCGCAGCTGCCCCGCCCCCCGCTGCCCCCCCCTCGCTACTGCTGCCCCCCCCCGCTGCTGTTGCCCCCCCCCCGCTGCTGTTGCCCCCCCCCCCCCCGCTGCTGCTGCCCCCCCCCCGCTGCTGCCGCTGCCCCCCCGCTGCCGCTGCCCCGCCTCCCGCCCCGCTGCCCCGCCTCCCGCTGCCCTCCCCCGCTGCTGCTGCCCACTCCCCGCTGCCGCTGCCCCTCCTCCCGCCCCGCTGCCCCGCCTCCCGCTGCCCTCCCCCCCCCGCTGCTGCCCCGCCCCCCGCTGCCGCTGCCCCGCCTCCCCACGCTGCCGCCGCCGCCGCTGCTGCTGCTGCTCAGTCCGCTCCTGGCGAGCGGGGCACGTGGAGAGACGCGGTGGTGAGGAGGAGGAGGAGGAGAGCCCCAATGCCTTTCCATTTCCCCAGCAGTCCTCTCTCGGAGCGGGTGAGTCTCGCGTCGACGTGGTGTGCACTCCGCTGTGTAGATAGTGTACACGCACGCACACACACTTGGTGTGGGGATGTTGATAGTGGTGGTGGTGGTGCTGCTGTTCGTGTTGTCTCTGGAGTGGAGACGCGAGGCGTTCTCTGTCGTGCGGTGTCGATCTCGTGGTGGTGGTGGTGGTTGTGATTAAGATGTGGTGGTTCTGGTTAAGATGTGGTGGTTGTGGTTAAGTCGTGGTGGTTGTGGTTAAGATGTGGTTGTTATTAAGATGTGGTGGTTGTGATTAAGTCGTGGTGGTGGTGGTTGTGATTAAGATGATGTGGTGGTTGTGATTAAGTCGTGGTGGTGGTGGTTGTGATTAAGATGATGCGGTGGTTGTGATTAAGTCGTGGTGGTGGTGGTTGTGATTAAGATGATGTGGTGGTTGTGATTAAGTCGTGGTGGTGGTGGTTGTGATTAAGATGATGTGGTGGTTGTGATTAAGCCGTGGTGGTTGTGATTCAGCCGTGGTGGTGGGTTGTGATTAAGATGATGTGGTGGTTGTGATTAAGATGTGGTGGTTGTGGTTAAGATGTGGTGGTTGTGATTCAGCCGTGGTGTGCGAATGTTTCAATGGGACATTCGCACACAGCGCATAGACACACCACCACACACGCGTACTGTACTCTGCACACGCGACGCACATGTCCGTACACCACACAACACAGACACACATCACATACGGCACATACACATACACCACATAGACAGCACATAGACACACACCACACAGCACATAGACACACACAGCACATAGACACACAGCACATAGACCACACACAGCACACACAACGCACAGCACACAGACACACAGCACATAGACACACCCACACACAGCACATAGACACACACAGCACATAGACACACACCACATAGACCACACACAGCACACACAACGCACAGCACACAGACACACAGCACATAGACACACACCATGCACAGCACATAGACACACACCACATACACACCACGCACAGCACATAGACACAACACATACACAACACATAGACACACACCACGCACATCACATAGACACACATCACACACAGCACATAGACACACACATCAGATCGATATTCCTGTACTCACACACCAGATACATAACACACACAACACATCCACACACCCCGAACAACACATACACTACACAACACAGGCGAACAACACACACACACACGTCGGTTTGTTTACGAGCTGGAGCCAAAGGAAATGACTTTAACAAAAAGAATACCTCGAAAAGTATTTCAAGTGCTAGGAATGTGCAGGCGATTTGTACCCAGCAAAGGAAGCTGCTGGTACATTGTGTTTTTATATCCAACCGGATTCTTTGGGTGATTACGTGTAGAGACTGTTTTAGCCTATTTGTTACCTTACGTATTAACAATTTCATTCAGTCCTTATACTCGTATATGTCAGTTTATTTTAAATCTATGCTTGCAAAAAAACGCATTGTTGTACTCTACTGATATGCCTCCACGTCTATGCTTCTTCACCATCACCAACCCAGCCTAACCAGCGTGGTGAAGTATGGTCAAATAATACTCGCCAACCGAGCGGCGGGGACAGGCGCTCAATCTGCAGCGGTTTGAGATATGGCTTTTAATACTAAAGCCATATAGACACATGAAATCAAGGAACAAACACAAATCAGACGTACTTTTGATTTGACCGCAGGTATTGTGGTCAATGCAAACATGACTCCTTATAAAAAAGGTGTCGGTTTTGTTGCCAGATAAAAGGGTAAAAAAACAATTATCATATTTTGCTACTGGCAAAGGAGGTTCCAATGGTGTAAATGCTTACCCCGAGCTCTCATACTCTGATGGTGCATTGTCTTTGAGTTGTGCGCCTTTTGGCGTCATCTGGTCCAACACCATGTGGGACTAGGCGCTAAGAAAAGCTGTCTCGGGTGTGGACCAATACATTTCAAGGACAGTGCAAAAACACAACTCTGATAATTTTATCAGAGTTGTGTTTTTGGTTTTCATTCCAACCGCAGGTATTGTGGTCAATGCAAATATGACTCCTTGTAAAAAAGGTGTCAGTTTTGTTGGCAGATAAAAGGGTAAAAAAACTATTATCATATTTTGCTGCTGGCAAATGAGGTTCCAATGGTGTAAATCACCACCACCACCCGACACGGCCAATCAGTAAAAAATGTGTCACGTTGACAAAGACAAATAGTTCACTGCTTTAGCCCACGGTGTGTTGAAGCCACAACATTTACAATTTGAGTACGACGTTTCGCTGGTAATTGCAACCAGCATCATCGGGCAATTCGCCAGAATAACGCGATCTAAACCCAATAACGTTGATTATGAATAACATTGGTCGCGAAAGCCTACGTGTTAAACTAAATCACCACGCTGGTTAGTGCAGGTTGCATGAATCTAGACCAAGGAGCGGCTCGGATATCGCTCGTCGCTGATGCCACCAGCCGAGGTCGGGAATCGAACTCCGGTCACTGGGTCCATAGCACTGTGTGCTCACCATTGCACCACGGCTCCATCCCAACTAATGAGATGATGTGTTGTATAAATAAGTAATGAAATGTACCGGACTGGTAATGGCAAAACTCCACGACTCCGGGAAGTGGCCACGAGGCTTGCCGTAACGTAAGGAACCGTGGTGATTTACAGCCAACGTGAGTTGAGCGTGGACAATTAGAGCCAAGGCGAAACATTACATAAAAAAAAGGTTTAAAAATATTTTTTTATGATAGAATATAGTATTGTCATCAGTGTGACATAAGTATACCACGTTTGCAGTCCATAGCACATTGGGAAGTGGGTTAAAATTGAGTTACAAGATTTGAGGATACGACAACGACAACAGACAGAGTGAGTTAAATAAAAGCGTGTAATAAAAGAAATAGTTCTACTTGAGCGAGGAATGGGGGATACTTGCTCCGCACTGACCTGACCCTCTATTCCACAGAGTGCAGCCATGGGCAAAGGCTGCAGGGTGGTGGTTTGCGGACAGGCGTCTGTGGGCAAGACAGCCATCCTGGAGCAGGTGCTCTACGGCAGCCACGTGGTCGGTATGGACACACACAGCCATGGCAGGGCCCGGGGGTGAAGTCACTCATTCACTCTGCCCAGTGTTATCCCCTCATATTCTTGGTTGTATGTGGACGCTCTTGTTCCCCCCCCCCCCCCAACATGTATACCAAAATACTGAAGTATTGACCAAAGTAGAATTTCAAGACGCCCATATCTATAGTTGCACTCGTACCTTGATATATATGTGATTGAGAAAAAACTTTAAGACGCAGTGGAGAAAACAATTAAAATTGCACTGCAAGATGCCTTTGTTGTGGAAAACGCCAGCCGGAAGGTGAGAAAAGATGGTAAAAGTTACTCTGCACGTTGCAGACAGGGACTTAACGCCTGAAATGTCTTGCTCATGCCACTGCTGGCAAAAGGGGCCTCCACGAGCTCTAGAGGGCTCCTCTGCAGTGTATTTGGCCTGCTCTTCAACACGAGCCAGATATCTCGGAAGAAGTGGAATTACGCTTTATCCCACCACACAAAGCCTGCCTATCGAGGAAACTGTGGTGTACACATTTATGCTGCTGGATGGACAGAGGCAGGTGGGATTTAAGTAATTTGGTTTTGTTTCAACTACACCCATGCTGGTTTACAACTCCAGTGCACTACTAACCATTACACCATAGCATCCCCATATATTTGAACTTTGAAAAAATCCAAACTATGTTCATCAAGAATCTATGGCCATACGTGGATAGTATGTCTGCGATAATGACTAATACCGCATCATCATTTATCATCTACCTTTGACAGACACGTGTCTTTATTTTCCAGCTGTCTCATTCATTCCATTTTAAGTTGCATATTAAAAAAAAAATACAACGTTTTTATAAGACCATAATTTAGCTCGGATGCCTTGTAAACTGAATCTAATTTCTGTATGCTGTTGGACAAATGCTACATTTGTAAAAGCTAAATTCCAATTTTGTCCATTCATTTGACAGTGCACAAAGAGCTCTTGTACACATGTGGAAATGTGACCGGTGCATGCACAAAGTGCTTCTTGTAAGTGACTGCTGCTGCTGGATCCATTAGGTTGTGATGGTTTGAACAGTTGAGAATGAACAAGGCAGGAATTTGGCATCTTATATTACACTAAAATGAACTAGGAGACATCATCTATAGCACTGAGTTGGGTTATTGCCAGGGTTAGGGGTTAGGAATCAGTTTGGCCAATTATTACCATTGTTCTGCCCTTTTTTCCCATTTGAGGGGTTCCAACCCATTCAGAATTAATTGAAAAGTTTTAGAAGCCACTTAATAATTTATATAATATTATTTATCTACAGATAACTGCATCAATGACCTTAATAAATTCTTATTCAATTCATCTGCCTACTCAACAAAAGCCTACTTTTTTGCCTAATTGCAATGTGGTTGTCATTATTTTTTAGGAACACCTCAATTATAGATACATTTTATTACTGGCTATGCCATGCGTGCTTTTAAATATTCATGATGAACTGTCACTGCAGTGCATCAACCTGCGTTAGAGCACAACCTCAGATGATAATGTCACAGAAATAATTTTGAAGTCTATTCAGTCGGCCTCTTTATCCACATGAGGTCAACACCGATTATGGCCTGGAATGAGCATTTGTTGAATGGCAATGAAACAAAAACTATTATCATAGCTGGAATATTCCTAATTCAGTGGAAACACAACATTTTACGTTATAAAGTTGTTCTTGTGCAGTTTTTATGACTAGGTCTCCCAGACTGAGACCATACATTCATTACAGTTTTTTTCGCAGGCAGCTGAAACCCAGATTCGAACTTTGGAATATTAACTGTGCCGAGTCAGGTTCTGACACGGCCATAATGAGCCCCTTGGCCCACCCAGATCCCGTTAACTTGGCTAGTCATTCGAATTATACAAACTGCCCCAACAAGAGTCAAACATAAACTTGTATTCTGGAGTGATAGCATGTGTGTGTGCATCCCAGGCATAGTGGATAACGCACTGTGCTATGAACGTGACATTTTAAGTTAGATTCACAGCAATGGATAATGTCAGTGGGCATTATCTGAACCAGTCTTGGGCCTCCCCTCGGGTGACTCAGCCTTAAATGAGTAGTATAGTGTGTAAAGAGCAATGTGGCAACAACAGCGAATGGATGTGGCGCTGGCTACACTGCCCCCTCGTACACCTTGCAGGCCTTAATAGGTGCTCACTGACAGCATGTGTAGGCAACTTGGGGGATCTTTGGCCCCCAGGCTCCCAGATGCACGAGACACAGGAGGACGTGTTTGTGGCGTGGGTGGAGACGGAGCGCGGCGTGCGGGAGCAGGTGCGTCTCTACGACACGCGGGGGCTGCGCGACTCGCCCTCCGAGCTGCCCCGCCACTACTTGGCGCTGGCCGACGGCTTCCTGCTCGTGTACAGCGTGGACAATGTGCAGTCCTTTCGCAAGGTGGAGGCACTCAAGAAAGAGATTGACCGAGCAAGGGACAAGAAAGAGGTGCCTTGATGCATTGTGTGTACACTGGTACCTACAAAGCTTGCTCCGATTTATTAACGTGCCCTGGACTAACATTCAAATAAGGTAAATGCACAATATGGTGGAGCAGTGGTGCACTGGCTAGCACACTACCCTTTATGCACCGAGTTACAAATATTATTATACATCAACTGTGTAAATATATAAATACACATTATTGCTCTGCATGAAAGATATATCATATTTTACGCTTATAATAAAACGTTGTCTTTATGTACTAGTAATATAATATAATTAAAGGTTTTAAGTAATGGTTTGTTTTGAAAAATTGAATATTAAGTGCAAATTTACAGTACAACAAATCTAAACTCTTCATCAACCTCTGTGGATGGCTTCTATCATTGTATATCATGAAAATAGGTAATGAGGCATTGGCACAATCGTTAATGCACTACGCTATGAACCCGGCAACTCTAGTCTGATTCATGGCCAAGTTTAACATCATTGGTGCATAATATCTGAACTGGTCCAACGCCCCACCTTCAGCAACCTGCACAGTCCAGCGGGAGGAAATATGGTGAAATAATTCCGATAAATTGCACAGTGTGGTGAGGCCTTCGTCCAGAAAATGAATTACTGTAAATTGTATTATGGTATATATATGCACAATGGATGTTGTCTGTCAATATGTAAAAATTATATCATAGGAAAATGTGAGTGCTGGAATTTTGATGAGTCTTAGTTAAGTGCATAAAAATTATATGGCTAAGTGGCCCAGTTTACATGTGTAGTCTTCTTCAGGGAGGTACACACTTGACTTGGAAGCAACACGTTTATTACACAGCCCCACAGGGCTAACAACATAAACGTACACACACTAACTAGACGCCAACAGGGTAACTACATAATCGGGTCAGTCAGTAACATCCTGACTGACCCACGATGCCGAGCGGAGACCAAGATCGGAGAGACGAAGTGCCGAGGGTTGATTCCAGAGAACAGCCCCAATCGGGACTCGGGACTCGCCTTTTATGGGCCGTGGCGTGGCTGGGCTCCGTCCCTGGCCACGACCCCTTCCAGATCCTTCCCGAAGTCTCTGGCCCCTACCTCACGTATCCCTCTCTCCTCCTTTTGGGCCCCCCTTGCCACCTGGTCCGGTCACGAGCTCTCTCGGGGTCACCCAGACTGTCACGTCCTCACCCGACCTCTCTCTCACTGTCACCAGGACTATGCCCCCTCGGGCCTGCTTTCATGGTATACCCACTCTGGTGCCAGAGAGAGGCCCAAGACACACAGCTCCACTCTTGTGATGGCAGCTGGCGCTAAACGCCATAGCGACTCCATTTACGTCACTACACGTATGTTTTTTCTCCAGGTACTCCGGTTTCCTCCCACATGGCCAAACATCCGAAAGCAATTCCCTCATTGATAGAAGTCTTAATGTAGATTGAGGCTTTCCTGGATAAACAAATAGTAGAAAAGATGGAACAGCAGGTCTTAATTTAAAATAGACTAACAAACCCAAATATAGATTTGAAAAAATTGTGGATAAATAAATGAGACCTATAACATATTTCTCGATATATCCAGTCCCCTAAGGAAACCTGAGCATATGTGAATGGTTTGGAGTGTACCCCAAGCCTGTCTAAGCCATCTGCTACCCCCCTAAATATTGGCAGTGGGATAAACATCATTATTTCCCATGCATATTGAGTTAACCTTCACTCTGTGGAAGGTTGCTCATAGTTTGTAACTCCCTTCCCCGAGTCATCCATGCTGTTGTCCCTGCCCATGTAGAAGTATGGACTCAAAATCTTCCTTATTTCCTCTGCCTGTGACTGACAATTAATTTCTCTACATTAATTAAATATGACCAACTGTTTTTATGACGTCTTGAGATGGGTTTGCATTTAGACTGTTATATCAATCTAAATTGTGTTGTATATCACATTTGGGTATCTTGCTAAATTACACTTTGATGAAATTGCCTGCAGAGCAGTTTTTAAGAATCAAAGTAATCTGCTGCAGCATAACAATGTATTTAATTAAACAAAATCGAAATGACATGTGCATTAATGGCCAAACCAGTCATCTGTTTTGCTTTATTGCGTAAGCCAGCCCGGGAAAGGGCACCTTCATCCTGCCAGAAATGTGTGGTATGTTTCAGAATTAAAACCAGTTGTGACCAAATTCTGGGTGGTTCTTGTTTTTCAATTGCATTCCTCACAGTCAGAATTCTAAATCTGTGCCAGCGATATGTAAAAACATTTACTGTATAGGTTTTTTATTTTTATTCTTAGGTTTTTTTGGTAAAGTCACGTAGGTAAAAATTTAAAATTAATCAAAGTTAAATAAAAATAAAATAAAAATCACGACGTTTCGGAGGCAACACAAGCCTCCGTCTTCAGGTGAAACCGTCACCGCACGATAGCTGTATCAAGTAAGAGAAATTCCAAGAAAACAGTCCTTATATATATACTCGTTGAGGGTGGGAGGAGCCAAGGTAGGCCCTGGATATTATTATTGTGAGGTTCGGTGCGGCTGAAGCACGCTGTTAGGAATGAGCCTTTCTTGTGTAGACTGTTTGAAAATAGTTGTTAAGGTGAGGCTGATGTAAAAATCTAGAATGTATAGGTTTTGTCCACTGTACGTTTATTTTAATCAAACATTACGGGATATGTAGCAAAAAAACAACATGTATTGTAGCCTAAGCTTATGCCGTCGAGGATGGGAAGATCAAACATAAGCCAAATCTTGGAGCCTTGAACCAAAAAAATGTACACTTGGACCTGTTAGACAGGACTTGCTTGATATGTAAGAGTGTGATACATTGATGCAAAGAACGTGGTATGCTTTGATGCCACGTAACTATTTCATCTAAAATCGGACAAGAATTGATGTGGATGAATTGTATTAAAAAAATAGACGCACAGTAGCACGGTAGTAAGTGCATCTTCAATATGAACCCGGCGATCTAAGTTTAATTCCTGGCTGCAGCTAAAGTCAGTGGCGAGTGACATCTGAACTGGTCCTGGACCCCTTTTCACCAACATGCACTCGCCATCGTTGTGAATTACAATAAAGGACTCATGACCAGTAGGGTGCTGGTTTGGGATGCCTTCATCCAGCAGTAGATTAATAAAGGGCTGTAAATTATCATCTTTTTCTCATTTTATTTGTAACCAAGAACTCCAACCTCCCATAACATAATACAAATTACATGTAAAACAGGTTATGAAATCCTTCCACCATCCACATTGCATGGATATTAATACCAGAATTCTTCACATTTCTATGCTGGAGTTCTTGTCTTATAAATAATTATGCAAAAAATAAGAACCTTGTAGACCCCACGTGTGTCTTTATGTAAATGCATTAAGTTGTGAACTTAACTCCATACACAAAGTTATTAAATTCTATATAAGGCAATATGCCTTTGATTAATGTTCAATGTTTTGATCATTTGTTTACATGTATAATGTCTGTTTTCTGATCCAGGCCTTCCTTGAAAAGTAGACATGTATTCTCAGCCAGGCTCTCACATTGTATAAATAAAAGACTTGTTTGTATATACGTTGGTGAAATGCTTGTGGTAGGGCAGATTGTGGATATGCTTAACTGATATGGATAGGCTAAGGGAAACCACTGAACACTGTAGTCTCACTGAGAATGAAAATAAATTGAGAATCTTGGGATGGGTGTTTGTCAACGTCAGTCTTCCTTTTCGTGATTACCGATCTTTCCTGTCATATGCAAATTAAGCCACTACACACTGCGCGTACCTAATGTTGATGTTTGACAATTCTCTTCACGTGCTGGGAGCTCTCTATATGGATCAAAATGTCAGACATGTTGAACAACAGGCAGTGCAACCCGAAAAAAACATTTTGAGTGCTATATAGCAGAACTGCGAAAACGCCGTAAATGATACCATATGCGAAACAAGCCTGCTATGCCCCACCTTTTCTGCCCCCACCCCCAAATGCAGGTGACGGTCGTCGTCCTAGGAAACAAGAGTGACCTCCGCGCGAATCGGGCCGTGCGGTTGGATCAGGCCCAGCAGTGGGCCCGGACGGAGAAGGTGCGTCTCTGGGAGGTGTCGGTGACGGACAGGAGGACCCTGTTGGAGCCACTTGTTTTCCTCGCCAGCAAGCTCACCCAGCCACCCAGCAAGCCCGCCTTCCCGCTGCCCCGCCGCAGCAAGGGGGGCACCTCTGAGAACTGAGGATGCGTTTTTTTTGCAGGTGTGCAGCCACTCTCGTGGGTGCCCGGACACCCCCACACTGTTTATGTCTGCTTGAGAGACACCACCAGAAGTTTTAACCAAAATCATTGTACTTTTGAATCGCCATATTTCTCCCTTCAACTAGGCAACATAAATGTTGACTATGCCAATTATATTATAGAACATTTAAATTCAATGGAGCGCACATTGTGCGCTTAGAACCTAGTCAATAACCAGCAGTTGTGTAAATTTATATAAATATAGTACAGTAGAATTCCACGTATCTGTGGCCCTATTAACCACGACTCCTATTATTTATTGCACCATATTCTAACCAATAGCCACCGGGAACCATTTGCCAGTAGGACATCCCCCAACTTCTGAAGTGTGGCTGCAGCCCTGGTTTGAGACGTGGCTTGTCTTCCAGTTGCCTGTGTATTTTAACTCTCTTAGTTCTATCATCATTCTCATTATGCTATCACTCATTGTGTTCCTATTTTGGATTTAATGAAGTGGTTTGAGTGCTTTGACATTAGGGCGCCAGATTGTGATGGTTCAGTGGTTTATTTTCTGGCTTCTGCTCAGTGCTGCCGATAGACATTGTTATATCTGCTGTGATTTTTTGGCATTAAATACCCTGCTTTGTTGTTCACAATTGCGGGACAATCTGCATTAATGCAGTGATTAAGTTTTTGCCACGTTTGAGAATCCAGAATTCAACAGTTGTAACACAAAAAAAGAACAAATATGGGTTCCTTGTATATTCAAGATTAAAAAGACCCTGTCATTACTATCAAGATAATAATTGGCAATTCATCGTGATTAATATTCCTGACCTTCAGCAGTGTTTATACATTCAATCTCATATTCCTGTAAATGAGTAGCTTGCGTTTGGAGAACCTTAATGACTTCTTGTGCCTCATACCGAGTCTTGCAATAATTATTGATTACATTTTTGCTGCTTATGCGCATGATGCAATGTAATTGCGAATGTTTATTTGAAGCATTAATCTATATATTGAGCTGCTTGTATATACGGTGAAGTTTTAACCTTTGGCTAAAATCCATTTCCAAGGTGCTGAATTATTATTTTCCGCAAGCCGCAGCTCGTTTGAACGATTTCTGGTCCGATCCGATAAATGGCTGAATGTCTGGGTAATGTAGGTGTAACCTTACACGAAATAGTTTCAACATATGAATTGCAGAACTTGAGTTGATTATGTTTTCAAGCATAGACTATGCACATAAATGGATTAGAGCCATCATTTGGAAGATGCTGCTCTGCGCTCGAAAGGGCATAGATTATAATAATCAGCTCAGAGAAAAATGAAGTGCTAACCTTACATGAAATAGTTGGGGCTGCTTTTTGTTTAATCTTTACTCGTGTAAACAAGTTTGTATTTTCTCGTCATATGCATCGTAGTGCACCATATGTTTTGCACATTGGACTCGTTACTATGTTTTTTTTGTTTTTTAGAGTCTACATCCTGAGTCGTATATTGTTTGTTTTAATACCGAACTCCTCTCACTTACAGGAAGTCTTAGGTTGTTGAATCAGACCATAACGATTCCCGAGTACTGTAATTCGAGTGGTAAGCAGCTGCACAAAGGCTCCTTTACTCTTGAAACCGCAGGCCCTTACCGCTGAAGGTTATCACAATGACAAACTTCCTTGTTGTGCAGAGCCACGGTGGCTGGAAAGTGGGATTTGTGCTGAGTGCGAGAGAGAAAAGGAAGTCGCATGAGAAATGATGAAAGTTCATGAATTACGCTACACGAGTATAGTCCTTTATTTAATTACTTACATAATTACACTAGGTTTATGAAGTTAATCTACGAGAGTGTGCAGTGCAGTCCTCTGACAATCCACTGCTGGATGAACGCCTTCCCACACCACGACGGTCCAACAGGTTGTTTGTGGTGTGTGGTGTCTAAACCCAGGTCTTAGGACTCACCCCTTCACTAACTCCCACTGACCAGTGTGGTGAAGTATGGTCAAACAGACCCTCCACCACGGTACGGGGAGGCCTTCATTAACATAACATTGGCAGTAAATTCCAGAAATAATTACAGTATATGCATTAAGCAGTATTTACGTTGGGTCCGTACATTAAAATCAGCATATGTTTGTTCTGCTCATATGTTACTGCCGTGCTGTTTTGTGTTCCAAAAGACACAGCCAAAACAATGCCGTGAATTATTACTGCACTATTGTATTAACAAGCCTTTCATTGCATGTTCATGTTGGTCATAAAATATGCTGTGTTATACCTGCCATACCCAAAGAAAGATTTGCTGCGTAGGTTTATATGCATGCCAAAACAGTATATGCAATGCATTGTTATAAGCTATACATTTATTTATGACAGTGTTATTCGAGTTGTTGATGTATTCCTGCGAGTGCTTGACTTGTGTGTGAGAGAAATTTATAAATTTCGTCAACTTAACACGTAGTTCATTTATATATGGTTGATCTTTTGCATTTATTGCTTGTTTTTTGTTTGAAAATGTCTCCCTTTCACAGAGAGCTGTGAGTGTGTCATTGGTCTGTCTGTAGTTCTAGGACAGGGGTCGGCAACCTACGGCTCCGGAGCCGCATGCGGCTCTTTACGGGCTGCTTCTTGACGATATGTACGTATGTACAGTATGTACTCAGATGCATTGCGGCTCTTGAAATACTGAATTTTGTACCGAATTGTAAAGGAATGGCTCTTCTTGTTATTTTGGTTGCCGACCCCTGTTCTTGGAGAATAGCCTAATACTGTAATATACTTGGATTGGTGCTTTGATCCTGGTTTTGAAATTTGCTGTTCAACAACGAGGACCGGTATTTTTTCATGCTTGGCCAAATGCTAAACGAACCAAAAAGGGACTTGTACTTATGGAAATGCACATCGCATGTAATCAATATACACCTATACATGCACAATAAACAAAACATTTTACACGTACACGTGGTTTGTTATATTGGAAAAATGACGTGCATCATTCCTTAAGTAGGGCTTTCTATTGTGATTGTGTAAAACTATTTTTACCCCAAAATGTCACGACACTATAATATCAGTTTAATGACTAGCACATTGGATAGTGGATCATTCTTTTATATATAATTGTTCACATTTTTTGTGAAACTCCCACTGATTTTACCCCCATCTTAACCACATGTTGTCTCAGATACAATAACCGATCCATGCCAGTTAGAGGTGCCTATCCAAGTCCCATTATACATTATTTTTGCCTGATGTAATGGAGGCAGGCACGGCTGCAGGCATATTTTCACAAGTGTGAATTAAATTTCGATTTAAAGCTTTCGTGACTGCAGGGATTCATATTCTTGGTTCCCTTCTACGTGACTTTACCGAAAGAACCAAGAATAAGTGTGAATTACTCTACTGTAGTTGGAATTGGTGTTAGGAGTCGGGTGTGGGTGTCACTGAGAGAGTTGTTTTTAAACATTGATATGCCATGCGTATTTGTGTTATGCAGTGGCGTAGCTATCCAGGGTTAAGGCGGTGCAATTGCACCAGGACCCATGGGTTGGAGGGGCATCGGTGCCAGGCTACAAAGAGGGGGAAATTTGACGGGGCCATGCTTCATTCCTTGTACCAAGGGCTATGTCAACCTGCTTCGCCACGAGTGTTGAGTAATATTTTATTTGCTGGCCAGAGTAGTTAACTCAGGCGTTTTCTGTCTGTATCTTACAGTAGGTCTCCTATAAAAAAAATACTTGTCTAAATTGACGTTGACTTGGTTGTAAAGGCAAACAAAGATGAATATAATTATCTTGGTGGTTTTATCATCTCCATTTATATTATGAGCTCAATATGATAACAAGAATGGTGGTTATAAAATGTATCTTATCAATCTAAGGGATGAATGGTGGTATTCTTATTGGCTCTGACGATAAGTATTCCCTTTGTGATCAACAGCGCGGCTGTTCCACTCTCGGGATGCTACTGTCTGCTCATTCCGAGCATTCCATTGTGATGGCGTAGCAAAACCATGGGTGGAAAAAACCCGATTTTTCCAGCGGCAGGCATCGGGTTTTTCTTTAATACAATTAAACCCGATTTCGGGGAATTAAAACCTGGTTTAATGAATACGAAACTCTGATAGGCTTAGGCTGCTTCCTCGTCGGTGCTGCTATCGTACTCGGGGCCATCGGGCACAGGGTAGTCGTAGAATGCGGCGGGCAGGTTGGTCTTGATGAACACGAGCTTCTCCATTATCGTGGGCGCCAGTGAGTTCCTTAGCTTGGAATGGATTAAGCCCATCGTTGAGAAGTTGGCGAAGTGCGGTTCTGCAATTAGAACCAATTAAATCGGATTTCTCCCAATCTCAGATGATCGGGTTTAATATAAAAAGACAATTAAACCCGATTGTAAAAAACCCGACTGTGCCACCCTTGAGCAAAACGAGTGAGGGCTACAGTTTAGGTTCATGTATAGCCCTATGTCAATCTGCTGCTAGATAATGCCCTCCCCATCATACCCCGCAGGTCATGAGAGTTACTTCACCTCTTGGGTCAGAAAATATGGGGGTCATCGATGTAGGAACGTATTAGATGTCCTGCCTACAACGTAGCCACATAGCCAACGGCACTTGTGTGGTCACCCATCTAAGCACTATCCAGGATCATCCCAGCTTAGTTTTCGAGATCGGATGAATGATCTTAGACGAGAATAAGAAGTTCAAGTTATGTTAACCAGGTGAGAAAGAGACTACGATTGTGCCATTTGTAAGAATCACCTGGGCAATAATATACCAGTAAGAGGCGATGATTGCTATGTATAATCCCAATTGAGTAAAATGCAGGTCACTGACGCCAGCACACAATGGTTTACTCTTACAAATAACGTCAGGGGATCTTTAACGGCACCTATGGTTATTATAACTGAAGTGCGTTTAAATTATTTGTTCTACTATACATTTCCACATGATAATCCACTTCGGTGAGCTATCATTTGTGGCCAGGTCGCCTATGAAAAAAGGCTATACAGCTAAGTGGGCTTTACCTGGTAGTAGTAATAATCAGGGCAGTCACTCGATTCGAACCATGAACCTCTAGAACGAGGGGCGAACGTGCTACCGCTAGGCCATGTCACCGCCCAAGAATACTCATGTAATTATTGGTCTTTACGTGGACATTCCTTTCAAACACTAAACCCTTATCGGTAAAGTGGGAACATAACATGCATTATGCATTAGTAAGACATTTAAGTGCAGCACTGCATTTATAATCAGCATGAAAGGTTGTACATTACTGTACAGTGTGTATAGCTAACTTCCCTGTGTGGTTCTAATACACCTGGTATAAACGAGTGAGCATGCCCGTTGTGTTCCCACCTGACTATTGAGGTGTCAACACGCTCAAATCGTATGCGTTTACAACGCTAATTGTATTACATCTATATGTGGGCTCAGCGAATGCTGCCTTATCTCGATTCTTGCCGAGTTTTAGCTAATGAGTGCTCTCTCACTCCAAATATGTGAACAAAAACACCGTGGTTTATTTATTACAAGAAGCCAAATCCACACGTTAAAAAGTTAGACGTTGACAAGATTGTTGTCAATCAGAGTAACAGTCTAATTTCCGACAGCCTAAAATCGGTTATAGCTAAAGGGTTGAATTTTTCAGTCACCCCTAAACACATCCCAGTGGATGATATCATTGCCCAGGTAGATGTAGCCCTTAAGGATTGGGACACATTACTGCAGACGTGGCAAGATCGGATATCGCTGCAATCCTCAAAAACACTAAGACACCTATCAGCAACATCAGTAAGGATGAGCGCTTTGAGCTTTCTCAATTAAAAAGAGAGATGACATTGTCATCTTCTCAGCCGACAAGGGCAATGTCACAGTCATCATGGACAAAACCACATACAATAACAAAATTCAGGACCTACTTAATGATCGTAGCTATACAAAAATAAAAGAGATCTCACCAACAGCCTCATTACGAAAACCAACATATCATCACCGAATCGACATCTTTAATCAAACCATCCAAGCGGTTTTCCTTTAAACCCTCTGCTGCTAGACTACCGAGATTGTATGGCTTACCAAAACCCCTTAAAGAAGGTACACCCCTTCGTCATATCGTCTCCACCATTGACTCACCCACTGACAAACTGGCTCGATTTCTGTCTGAGACCTTACAACCATTCACTGGTAAGACCGCCTCAGCTGTACTTAACTCACTTGGTATCTCAATATCTCCAGGTGATTTGCTCGTTAGTTTAGATGTAGTTTATTTGTTTACCAAAGTTCCTGTGCCTGACACCATTGCAATCATTGAAGATTTGGTCCAACAAGGACTGCATGCTGATGTACTGGCCCTGGTGAGACACTGCCTCACCAATACTTACTTCACCTGGAATGGAACATTCTACAAACAAGTTGAAGGTACCCCAATGGGTTCTCCCTTATCTCCAGTTGTAGTCAATGTTTTCATGGAAAATTTTGATACAGATGCCATCCAGGCATCCACTCTACGTCCGTCCTAGTGGAAGACGTACGTAGATGACACGTTTGTCATCTGGCCACATGGCCGACCAGCTCTGAACCCATTCCTCAACCACATCAATTCCATACACCCAGCCATCAAATTCACCATGGAGGTGGAAAAGGATGGAAAGCTATGATTCTTCAATGTTTCAATCGAAAATAGACCAGATGGCTTAATGGGACACTGTCTACAGGAAATCCACCCATACAGATGCCTTCCTAATACCTGACTCCCACCACCATGCATCCCAGAAGAATTCCCTCATCAAAACTCTACACCATAGAGCTCGATGTATTTCCGACCATCATCACCTAGCCAGTGAACTGGAACACGTACACCAAGCTCTCAAGATGAATGGATATTCAGACTACACAATCCGTAAAGCTATCACCCCACCGTTGGGAAAGAACCATTTGAGGACCCAATCCAAACTATCACCTTGCCATACATTGCAGGGGTCACCAAAAATATTTCCAAAATCATGAGCAAACACAACATCCAGGTCCGATTTAACACAGTACATAAAATTCATGATCTGATCCCATCTGTGAAGGATGTGATCCCTGACATGAAATACCCCGGCGTCTACTAACTAAGCTGTGTCTGCGGCAGTAGTTACATTGGGGAAACTAAGCGACATGTTTCGGACCGTGTTCGTGAATACAAGGCAGATCTGAAACACGGTAGGACCAATACCTCGGCCGTGGCTGATCATTGTTTTAATGCGGTGGGCTCACACGAAATTGATTTCTCTAAGACGAAGGTACTTTTCAAACCCACTGGCTATCAACAAAGATTCGTTTATGAAGCCATCCATATATACAGACACAGAAAACAATTTCAACCGAGAAAATGAGTATAAACTTAGCAATCATCTGAAGGACATTATCAACCAGTTTAAGTCATAACTGGCTGTGATGTTCCCATCCTGCCACCTTCCGATGTTAGTTGTTATTTTCGGCTCTCCGATTTTACATGAGCAGGTTAAATTTTTCACACCAACACAGCCACCTTCGCATGCCGTACCTCGACGTGGCGGTGGCTCTGCGATCTTACATTAGCATGCTAATCTCTTACATTAACATGCTAATCTCTTACATTAACATGCTAATCTCTCACATTAACATAGCCACCTCAGCGCGCTCGCCGTGGAGGCCGCTTACCGATCTTAAATTAACATGCTAATTGTTACCTGGCAGCCCTTTAATTGGTGGAAACCCACCGCCAATCGCGGTTGCTGCCCATCACTTACATTAACATTAGCGTCCCCACCCATGCTGCTGACATTTGGGCTATGCTCATTTTAAACCTTTAATAAACAGTTTGCCTTTAGAAGCTTTTCCTGATGACGACGGCTTGTGTTGCGATCGAAACGTCGTAGTTTTTTGTTATTTTCTTTGAACCTATCTACGTGACTTTACCGAAAGACCCAAATAATATTATTACACTATATCCGCAACATTTATAGGCTCATTTCCACTCCCAAAGGCTGCCAATGCCAAGACTGCTACCACCCACAGTTATATTACAGCGCATTGTCATTGTACATGCTCTGCTGAATAATTTACTTTCATGTCAGGATGATGTCATTTGTTTTATATATATCAAATGTAGATTTAATGCTTATACATGAAGGACGAACAGACAAATTATATATATACATCCAATTACTTTCAAAGAAGTGGTTTCCCAACTCAAACAAGTTTGGGACAGTGTTTATGTTTTCTTCCACAGCTAATGGTGTAAAATTCCACCCTTCTGTGGCAGGTGTATTAAGAACAAAACCTATAGACAGGTCAAATGTTTTCAATGCTGTCGTCATCCTATACCACGGCGAATTTTGTACTAAATCCAAGTTATCCAACAAAATTAAATGGCCACCATGATCTCATAAATTGCATTTCTGTAGCTTGTTAAGTCTGATAAATGTTTGATATCTTTGGAGTTGATCAAGTCTATAAGCTTTACACCTTTATTGTGATCTTTAAGTACCGTACTAATTAGTGCTCAAATTTAGAGAGCCAAACATAATATTATTTATTTTTTCAACTCAACGTTTCATGGGATGATGTGATATGTGCCAGGTGTGGAGTTGTTGCATACAATGCCATAAACTCAGGCACTGCATTTATAAACGATTAAATGTGAAAGGTTAAGTAATCCTTTGGCAGAGATGAACAGCTTATATGCATGCCTTGTGACATATTGTATCATGGTACGTGTCAAGGTACAGTATTGACAATTTATCTCACAACCAACCTTCATATGTTCTTCACGTGTTATTGAGTCTTAACGAATTGCAGATATTTGTAAACTGGACTTTATATTTATATCAATATGGCAGCCACCCAATTTCAGTCAGTTGTCTGTTTTGCATAGATCATCGAAATTACAAGGACTATTTCTCAGAAGTAACTTCAGCTTGACTTGCATTTCTCCAGGAAGTTTCTGACAAATGTTTTACTGTTGTTAAAAGCTTATGAACCTATTATGAGCCATCATATGTTGAATTCCAGTTTGCAAGACTGTCTAATAACACAATATTTTTTGTCCACAGAGGGTGTTGAATTATTACACATTTTGAAACGGCGTCAAGCGTGATGAAGTCCAGACCAAATAACTCAATCATTCAGATTATGATTCTGTTTAGCCCAGTGGTATTGGGTGGCACATTGGCCCATTTAGAATTCCTTAAAAACTGGCAAAGAAGACGTGGATTTTATCGTATTTGTAATTTGGAGACAAATTATGACTGAACGATACAATAATGGTTGACTGGGGCAGTGTTCTAAATAAAATTATTTCAGCAAACTCAGAACTCCTCTAGACGAGAAACTATGATGAACAGAGCAACTACTTTATATCAAGCAGCAGTCGAATATACTTCAATAGTTTTTTTTTTATTGCATGACTTATTCTCACTCAACCAAATTGAAACCCGAGACGGAAAAGGCCCTCCTCTCTCGGCCATCCCCATGGCGTTGACGTGCCCACCACTCGCGATGTTCGAGATGAGCGTTGCAGATTTAATCTTGATTTTTGCATATTGATTTTTGCAGATTGATTTTTGCATATTGATTTTTGCAGATTGATTTTTGCAGATTGATTTTTGCATATTGATTTTTGCAGATTGATTTTTGCAAATTGATTTTTGCAAATTGATTTTTGCAGATTTATTTTTGCAGATTTATTTTTGCAATTTCAGCTGCACCATCCCAGCACTTGCCACGGGGGGGCGCTCGACGACCACAAGGAGGCACACCGAGCGCTGGAAGTCGTCTTATTGCGACACATTTATTTTATTATTATTACTACTGCCACTACGCACTGTAAGGAAGACGCGTCGACGTAGAGTTTGGGATCGGTGGGCATTGGGTGGCGTCGTGGCGATGGAGGCCCTGTGGACGATCCTGTGCGTGCTGGGCATCGCTGCCCAAACCCTGGCACAAGTGAATTTCCCCTGGGACGACGGCCCAGGGTCCGACGTGGATCGAGGAGGATTCGGTGAGGAGTTTGCCCCCCTTTGTGTACAACTCTCTGCTGATGTGGCAAGACATTACAACGGCCACACGCGTTCGCAGACGCGTTTTTCATCTTCTGCGGGCATTGTTTTTGCCTTGACGCAATGCAGGGCCCTTCCCTTAACATTTTATTATTCGAATAATTAAGCCCGTCGTGGATAGGGGTGGTGGGAGATGGGGTCAGTGTTGTGTTGTTGATGTGCCCTTTAATACGTGGTCGTGTTGAACGTTGCAATGATGATGCAGTATTACGGGACTGTAATGGTACAGCTTTGTGGATGCCCTTAATAACGCGTCCGAGAAGATGCCCTCGGAGGGGGGAGATGGAGCGATGAAATAAGCTCGTTCTCGGTGGATTCTGACAAATCTCAGGATCGTGAGAATTGGTGGAGGCCTTCATCCCTTTGTGGACGATGGTGATGATGAGGCACTCCTGTATAATCTACATCGACGTGGGTAGCGATGTATCACGGGTTCTGATTCCGCCTTAAAGCCACAGAGTTGAAATGTAAAATGATAACAAGGACAGCAGCAGTCGTTCATCGGTGTCCCATCGGTGTCCCTTAACTCCCCCAACTTTTACCGCAATATTCACCTGTCCCCACTAACCAGTGTGGTGAAGTATAGTCAAAACAACCCGCTCAACTCGACCGATACGACGTGAACAGCGCAGGCATTAGGCCAGAAATGGGATTGACAAAAGGGCTGAAATGTGTTATTGTTTTGCACAACTGTATATAGTGGCCTCCTCGAGTCGAATTAATATAAATACCATCAACAACTAGTTGTGTTGAAACCAAGAGCAGCACTTTGGGATTGGCCCGATGGAAATAAAATGGCATTGAATCTAAGCCATGAACGAACAATGCCCCACTCATATCCCTCTTTTGGGATTTAATGTTTTAGCTAATGGCCCCCTCTATTCTACACGACTACGCGTGCTAATGTGGACTCGAATTCTGTTAAAGATATAGGAATGATACGTTATGTATTCTGATACCACGAGTTTGATTGTAATTGGTGGTTAGTGTTTCATACCTGTCAAACCATTATCAGTTGCGTATATTATTACAGTCCAATTCAGACCTTATTGGTCACCCCGTGCCCTTAGACATTGCAACGTTCATCCTATAAAGTCATATCACAAGGGAGAAACACAAACAAATAGACAAAAATCGATTTTTGTATTGAAACGGCTGTATGCCGTATGGACCTGAAAACTAAATTTTCCTGTACAAAAACACGGGTAAACCACATGGGTGAACAAGTATGGGATTTAAGTTCATTAGCCCCATTTGTAATTGGATCACGAAACCTACGGATAACCCTGTCCCTAAACAAATCCTTAAACCCTAAAACTGAGTCCTGGCTCCATGAACTCAGGAAGCATTTCCATATCACGGTCATAAATCCATTCATACGGCAAACAAATGTAAGCACATTTTCGATTTGCATATAATACAGCAGTATACAATACGGGTTTGCATCTGTAAAAATACAGGTTTATCCAGATTCATTAGAGTGAGATGTAAAAAAACACACGACATGGAACTAGGCCATTCTAAAGTAATTAGGTTATAAGAACTACTCAGGTGAATAACGGTATTCTATTCTGGTGTTTATCTATGCTCAGGAGCTAAATGCGAGATCTGTTTGCGTCGCGAGGTCATCAGGAGACTGGTGTATTCTACTGTAGAGTAAAAACGCCTAATTGGTGCTCATGATAGATGTTATTTTCAGGTTATATGGCTTTATTTTAATTCTATGACCATAGAACTAACCGTATGTAGCAGATACTAATGTGCTAGTTTTGTTTTTTATAAATCATGCCCTTGGTGACTTTCTCTCGTGCAGGGTGTGATGTGCACAATGGAAGTTGTGAGATGTGCGTAAGGGATCTGAAGGTAAGCCATTCATTTTCTCCCCATTTCCAAATGTGCTGCACGCATCATGTTAAGTGGCAAAGACATTAAAATGTTGTCATTCAGAACTTTTACACCTTGCAGTGCACCAGCCTGTGTGAGGACAACCCTGGACATTGTCACAGAATACAACAGATTTCACATTAATAAGCCTTTTATTCAACACTCATTGCACAACGTTTGTCTTCCCTGGAAAAAAGCGTTCATCGCATCTCATTCAATACTGGCTTTTTAACAACTCTTGTGTAGAATGTTGCCATAGAAATGAAAACCCCAATTTTAACGGCCATTGGTGACTTTACCGAGATCGTCAAAATCATCTCACGTGAGAACTCGGTTTAATCACAGGTAAATGAAATCCAGATTCAAACCCAGCATCTCACCAGAGCCGGCGAACCGGTTTAACCCATGAGTCACCCGGCAACCTCCTAAGTAATATTAATGTTTAAGTGAAATGTCATTTGAGTGCCACCCAGGATGCATGTGATTAACAAACATCAAAATGCTGGGCATAAGAAGAGGTTTTCCCCCAACAAAACAAGTGTTAAGATGTTAAAACACCAAACTGAAACCTTTTGCAAGGAATCATGTCTGCATTAACCACAGATACTTGTCGTGAAAATACAAACACAAAACATGCTCTGACAGTATATGCATTGTCTTTGAAACTGATTGGTCCACACCAGAGACAGCTTTCTTTAGAGCCTAGTCTCAAACAGTGTTAACCAGAGGACGCCAATAGGCAAACAGCACAAAGACAATAGACAATCAAGACAATGAGCTCGGGGTGAGCAGCTACATCATGGGACCTCCTTTGCCAGTGTCAAAATATAAGAATAGGTTTTCCCCTTTTTTCTGGCAACACCAAAATGGGAAAACCTATTCTTATATGTTGCTGTTCACCTATTTTGACACTGGCACAGGAGGTCCCATAATGAAAATGGTGGGTGCTTGTAATCTTTAGATACAACATTTTCTCTTCATAATAAATAATTATTTTCATTCCTTTGTCAATCCACTTCTGAATGAAGGTCTCCCAAAGGCTTCTGAGTCATGGGAGGTTGTTAAACTCTTATTTTACCATGCTGGGCAGGCAGTACAGGTTGGTGAAAGAGGGACCCAGGACCAGTAAAAATATTGGTCGCCACTTATGTTAGCTGTGACTGTTAAATTCTTGATTCATAATGCAGTGCACAAACCAGTGCACCACCTCTCCCCCCCCCCCCCCCCCATATTCTCTTTTAATCCCTTAAATGTTAGAATAATTGAGTCTCAGGAAGTCCTTGCAAAATGTCCTACCTATTTTTGAAGCACTTGGAGTTACTTGCTTGTAAGTATCTTTACGTATTTTTTTAAGATAAAATATTCTCTACTTGGAAGCAGATCTTAAGTGTGAAATGATAACCAACTTCACCATAAGTTGGCTTTGCAGAGTGAGTGGATAACTGTAGGGACATCCTAAATATAATGAAAGGCCATTAGATTGAATATGCCTGATACATTAAGCTGTCAACTGTATTACGGCAAAATATATTGAACGGACCTGTTACAGTTTAAGTTGCTGACGTATGGCATTTTAGGAGTCTGACTCGCTGCACAGCCACTGATAATTAGGTCGTTTGAGAGTCCTGAGCTATGCTGAAATAATAAATTTGTTTAATTTTCATAATGTAGCAATATTGCTAGTTGCCGATGACAAGATTACCTGGAATGTCCCCTATCCCATTAGATAAAGAAGGTAAGCAGAGTTCAGTGTGGATAACACATTGTATGGATAACAATGCATTAAACAGATGTCAGAGGCTATGAGGTCAGGTTGTGGGAAGCAGAGGGCAATGCATAAAAAATCTATCGTATTGTGCTTCTCCGCCTCTTCATCTGTGTACCCCACCTGCACCAAGCGATGTAGGCCTGAAGGCCCAAGTGAACGCCTGACCAGGAATTGTACTCGCAAGGCTCCAATTATGAGCCAAGCATGCTGACCACCATGCCATGTTGGCAGGATAGTGAATGATGGTATATTGCTACAAAAGTGAGAGGGGTCCACCCGTTAGCATTATTATTATATATCTCAAGGCTGTTGTTGGCTGTGCAGCCTGGCAAAACTAATGTATTTATGATTGAATGTTTTCTGTTTGGGCCCTCTAATAGTCTCTGACCATGGGTCTGTATACGCCAAGGGTCGGCAACCAAAATAACAGACATTTTTTCAAATTAGGTCAAATTCAATATTTGAAGACGCACGATACACGTGAATAACGCCACGAAGCAGTTCTTCAGAGCCACATGCAGCTCCAGAGCCGCAGGTTGCGGACCCCTGGTGTAGTAGGCTGTCATGTGTCCTTCAAACTTTCATTGAAAAATGACATGCATGCCTCCATTATCTTGGAAGGTTGGATATGTTTTCGAATTATTAATATTGAAGGATACTCTCTGGACTCCTTTTGGGTTGTATTAATGTTGGTATGTTTAATAACAAAATACATTTTTAAATTGTTCTATAGAAATAATATATATATACAGAACTGCAATTGGCTGTGATGTACACGCACAAATGGAAAACCTTACCACTTTCATAAACATAAAATGTTTGTATATTCATATATTTTATTTCAATAGTACTATTGGCATCTTATGAGATGGAGTGTCCATTCTGATCACGCATAGAGCAGTGAGTCACCCTCTGTCTAAGTGAGACACAATGCAAATTAACAGTTGTCACAGCTGAAATGTATCCACTTTAAGTGGATGTTTTTTCATGTGATGCTTTTTTGTTGGATTTAAAACACTAATATGAACCGTTGTAATTTTATTTAAATATGTAATGTTTATTTTTTGCATGGAATTCTGGGTCATGGATGGATGTTCAATTTTGTCCCCTAAATCTGGCCCAACCCACGATGAAAATCTGTCCAAAAATGGTGACATCAGCTGGTCAAATCCCTGCTGTTTGTTTGCTGTAGTGTCCTCTAATATCCAGTTTCAGGGTTTATTAATGCAGAACCAACCAGGTTTGTGAGTTAAAGCAAGATGTACAAATCAGGTGTGTTGATTAAATCATGCTACTCCTTCCAGGTGAGCAATAAGTATTTTTTCTGATTTTATATTGCAGTGAAAAGCTGGTGTTTCAATTGGGGGGGGGGGGGGGTTGATGTCAATTCAACTGCTGGATAAGTGTTTCATTTATGCCACAGGTGCTCCACATCCAGTTCTATTGGGACATTAATAATCATTAATTTTTTCACTAAATATTTTACAGGTGGCTGGTAGACTGGAAAAAGCATTTGACTAGCAGCCACAGCCATAGTGAAATACTGGACGTGGTGTGCCAGGTGCACAAATATATTCCGGGTTATTGAACCTGACAAACCCAACGAAAACTATAAAAACGAAACAATTTTTTATGTTACTAGGTAAGGCCCACAGAGCTATATAGCTCTTTTTCAGAAGCAACCTGGCCACAAATTATAGCTCAACAAAGTAGCTTATCGTGTTGAAATTTAAAGCGGCCAAATAGCCTAAACATGTTTTGAAATGTGGAGGAAAAAACGGAGGACCCGGAGAAAAATACACACGACCACGGGGAGAACATGCAAATCCAAATATACAGGTGTCAGGGTCGGGATAAAACCCACGACCTCCTGTATACCAGGCAAGCTAGTTAACATCTTGCCACAGTAGCCCTGAGTTTACCTGTGCGTGTTGTTTTCTGCACAACAATGGTTTCTCACTGTGTGGATGGTGCGGTGTGTCTCTTTCAGTGCCTATGGTGCAACAACACCTCACTGTGCCTTGATTATCCGAGAGGCCGCATTCTGCCACACGGGCTGAACTGCTCACTGTCCGATGTTCACTGGGGCATCTGCTGGAGTGAGTGCCGCACCTCCCCGCCCCCCGGGGGCATGCTTCGAACTGAATGCAGAACATTCCTGCATGCACACTCACGCAGCCACGCTACTCACAATCGTTGTAACTTGGTGTATTTTTACTTTTGATAAAAGGAAAGAAACATGGTCCACTTGCGGAAAACTAAAACATGTCATACAATGAAATGTTACTGTTACGGTGTCATACAATGAAATGTTACTGTTACGGTCACCTGAACACGCTCCATTTGTCCCCCTCGTGTAAGATGGATTCTTGATTGACACAACTGTTTCCATTTCTCAGCTCGTAAATTTGAATAATTTTGACATTTCCAAACACCATAATATTAGGTTTATGAAAATGTTTGGTTAACTAGATCACAGTCATAGATAATTCTTAAATGCTACACAGGTACCTGGTTACTTTTGGTCAGAACGAGCATTTATGAGGCTCTTTACAACTAAAAGGGATGTCCATAATCAACGATTTTTGGGTTTAGATCGCGTTTATTTATAAATGTGTCGTAACCCTCCACCACCCGACACGGCCAATCAGTAAAAAATGTGTCACGTTGACAAAGACAAATAGTTCACTGCTTTAGCCCACCGGTGTGTTGAAGCAACAACATTCACAATTTGAGTACGACGTTTCGCTGGTAATTACAACCAGCATCATCGGGCAATTCGCCAGAATGGTGAGGCTCTCCTGTGTCTCCCGTTCTTATATAGAGCAGCAGCAGGATGACGTCATCATTAACTCATCCTGCTGCTGCTCTATATAAGAACGGGAGACACAGGAGAGCCTCACCATTCTGGCGAATTGCCCGATGATGCTGGTTGTAATTACCAGCGAAACGTCGTACTCAAATTGTGAATGTTGTTGCTTCAACACACCGGTGGGCTAAAGCAGTGAACTATTTGTCTTTGTCAACGTGACACATTTTTTACTGATTGGCCGTGTCGGGTGGTGGAGGGTTACGACACATTTATAAATAAACGCGATCTAAACCCAAAAATCGTTGATTATGAATAACATTGGTCGCGAAAGCCTACGTGTTAAACTAAAAGGGATGTGCCTGGCATACTGACCATAGACAAATATTATCCTCCTGCTTGCTCACCCATGAAAGTCACCGAGTCTCATGATTCTTATTCAGGAGTATCCTGCCAAGTTTTTGCAGTATAAGGAAAATGTATTTCTATGTCTATTCAAATTCAGTATTTTACAAGCAATTGTTCAAATGTGGCAAATTTAGACAATTGCGCCAGCACACAATTACCTACTCTTGTGAATGACATCACAGGACCTGTTAACACCCACTGTGAAGCAGACCTTGCATATTTTTATGGTCAATCACCTGCAGTATTAATCAGGGTGGCCGATTTGAACCATAAAATCTGCAACAAGCTGGGAATGGGCTACTACTAGGCCATGTCATAGACTTGTTTTGAAAATAAGACTTCACTAGTATTTACCCAGAATATAGTATATAAACCTTGAAGAATAAATGTATTTAGATACCATATAAATCCCTGTTATATTTTAATACAACTTATTTATAGACCATATTTCAGCAATTTTTTTTCAGGTTTCATACCTTTGCCAATTAGTACAATGAAGCGTTGTTCATTAAAGAAATTGAAAGAATACAAGGAGAGGTCAACATGAGATTTATATTAACACGTGTGTGCATCTTAATGAAGCCAAACAGGAGCTCTGAGAGAATGATGGAGATGATTTTGGCTATGCATCTGTTGGGTAAATGAGGCTGAAAGTGTGTGTGTTTGCGTGCCCATATGCTTGCAGTCAATTTAGAGGTTCTGCTCATCGCTGCAGCGGTCGTGGCTGGCGTGCTGATAATCACCATCGTCGTCTGCTGCTGCTGGTGCTGCTGTCGCTGCTGCAAGCAGCCTCAAAGGTAAGAATCTAAATAGAGCTAGAGCCAGTTATGCTTTATGGATGGCCAATGTACTTTTTTATGACGACAAAATCCATTTCTCTATACATATTTAATTTAGTTGAATGCATGTTTGTTTGTCTAATTTCTGAAATGACAAATGAATGCCATCTAGTCAAATGCTTTTGAATATCTGCCCATATATCTTTTGTAATTCCGTAGACGCTTTACAACGATATTTTGGCAAAATGTTAAAAATGTGGTGTGCTCTGGCACTGTTCGTATTTCTTATTGAGTGATTAAACCTTTTTAAATCAAAACAATGTAGACGAGTGTTCATATTGAACTAAATCTTAATAAAGTATTGCAATGTAATTTAAATGTATAAACAGGGAAATGGCTCCTTGAATAAGCTTTATTAGCAGTGACATATTAGCTTGCACAATTGCACATATGACTCCTTCCTAATGATTTTATAAAACCAATTTTCAAAGCTCTTAAGTTTTAATGCATTGCAACAATATTTTCAATATATATGTTCTTAATTCAAGGGCGGATGATATGATTTAATTGATTGGCCAGTTTCATTCGTAGAATATTGTGATAATCTCAGAATTCACAGAAAATTCAGGACCCGCACACTGAACTGTATTGGACATTGCAGGCAAGGTTGAATGACGTGAGTTTGTGATTAGTTCTAGGGATGAAGAACAGTGGTCTCGGGAGCAGGAGGTGAAAAAGCGGCAGGCCCAGAAGAGGTTTGTGTCTTTCTGCCGAACTCAACACATTATATGCGGTGTTGGGCAGTACACCAATGCATATCCGACTGTCGCGTAGCCGCCAATTAACCGGCCACACCCATAAGTGCCACATTCTATAGATGATCACTTATCTGACATTTGAACATATTTAACCATACCGGAGTCCACAGTGAGTCGGACATGCGACATATACTGTATTTCGTAAAACAGTGTGTATATGTATATACTGAAAAGTGTCATCAGTTTTCTGACTTTAGCTACTAACAAAAATAAATATGTTATTGTCTGTATCCCTCTATATCATGCTACCAGTTTGAATTGCTATAATATGAATGGATAGAAATTAATTTTCAGTCGGAGCTTTCCACAGTGTTATGGATGTAATGTCCAATTCGTGACGTTAATTTGGTTAAGAAAAATAATGTATGCAACATTTTATGTAACTTTTTATATGAGACTATATGTACAATAAAAATTCAGGTTATATAATCAACAAACCATTTTCAGATTTTAACTCTGTACATGTACAACCCTTTGGTCTATCTGCCGTTTGACTCCCCATGCCGTGGGGAGAATTTTACGATACTACACATTGGTCAGTGAGGGTCGGTGAAGGCTCTAAGCATATAAGTGTGTATACTTCAATATATTGTACAACAATGGATTTGTTACTTTGCACTTTTCTGACCATGTAGTGTAGTCCCGATGTCACCTATGACAAACTGGCAGTAGATGGTGGTCACCCATCCAAGCACAACCCTGCTTAGCTTCTGAGATCTAACAAGATCAGACAGATTCTTGGTGCTTGTATACTTATGTATGTACGTATGTTGAACTTTTTTCGCACCGTACATGGGCAACCATGCTAATGGGAGGTGTGGGGGAAGGACAACAATCTAAACACAAAAAGCATTTTTATAATAACCAGGTTTTAGTGTCGTCATAAAAGGGACTTCACATTCGTAATACGGTCGAATGCCCTAGTACCTTATCCACTGTTCACGTTCGCCTTCAAGTCTAACTGCGTACGTATGTTTCCACTCAACAGGAAGGCCGAGCGAAGGGCTAAGCAGGATCAAATCCGCAAGAAATATGGTAAGTTGTTTTCAACGAGTCTGCACATTACATCATAGAGTAGGTACACTGCAGCTCTGCGTGTGCTGTTTACTGGAGGAAAACGCCTGATGATTAACACAGCTCGTTGCTTAGCAAAGCTCCACCGAGAGTCGTAAATGACACCAAAGTGCACTTTATTCAAAACATATCATAGCCACATTGGATTATTGGTTATAGAATTAATTATTAATTCCTGCAGTAGTATTAAACTATACAAATATATATTTTAAATGTAGTTCATGTTAACCAATGTGTGCGTAATGGACGAATATTACACACAGGCTGATTTACTGATTACTTTTTATTATTTTCAGTTTTTTATGCAGTTTGACAAACCCCATACATTCGGTCTCTTTCAAAGGTATCTGTTATTGGATGCACTTGAGTAAAACCAGTGAACGCTGTACCACCAGTGGGTTTGTGCGTGTTGTGATTCAGGTTTGCTGAAGGACGAGGAGGCTCACTCGCTGTTGATCTAAGAGCCGGGGGGCACCTACCCTTAAGGAGCGGTGTTCTCTGCAAGGTCAACCCTTCACCTAAACAGCACACGGGGATTTCTGTTTGCACGTTGGAATACGCTGCTATCGGTGGGAGAGAGCGAGGGAGAGCAGAGTAGGAGGAGGAGGGTGAATTAATGACCATCCTGGGAGATCAACACATCAGCACCACTAGCTCATCTGTACATTTACTTCATCTGCCCCCCTGCCCCTGCACATCCCTCGCCACATCCTCAACCTATTTGTGATCTGACACGCGGTGAAATTGGTTTAAAGAGAGCCAGTGGCGAGGCATTAGTCTCATTTGTAGAGCCCCTTTTGTGTTTTATTAATCGCGACCTCCAGGTGCTTGGAATCGAAGCAACTGAAGAATTAACGTAAATTAACGCGCTCGTGTCATGCAATCAATAATCTCGACCTGACATGATTGTAAAACAACAGCCGCTGTGGGCCTGTGTTTCTCAACTCAGTCCTAATTCCCCCCCCCTACTCGGGTCTGACTTTTCTTGATTGACCAGTTTTTATATTTATATTCAAATTAAGCCAGTGCACAGTGCATCCATGATACGTAAAGATTCTGATTCTGAATGGTTGGTGATCCTGGAAAGCTGGAGTTGAGAAACATTGGTGTAGATGGCAGTAAGGTCACGTCTCACCACTGATGAGTGATAAGCAGTGAGTGCAACCCAGTTTCCGCCCTTCCTGCCTATCCATCCTGTCTGTCCAACCACGTCCACTGTCACTGTTCGTCGTACTCGCCCACAACATCCACCTGCCTGATTTGTCTACCGTGTGTAGCCCCAATGTCTACCCTCGCTACCTCTCCACCTTGCCCATTGAACTGCGTCCACTTTTAAAATCCATCCTATTCATCCACTGTGTCTATCCTGTGTGGCCCCCCATTTATCCCCCCCCCCCTGCCCATTCACCTCGGTTTTCCACCCTTTCTGTTCACATTCATTACACTTGCTACGAGGATGGTGGTCTAATTGTCACAGGGCACAGCCACATTTGATTAAAGATAGAAAATAAGAAAATTCACGAGTGGTTTTTATTTAATCTTCAAAAAATGTGGCCGTTATATCGTGCACAAATACTGTATGCATCTGAGATTATATTCCCATTGCTATTATGTGTGCTACACACTGGACATTGTTTATTGTGCCGTTATTTGTTTTTCTTCACCGATAAAACACTTTTCTTTTCTCGTGTGTTTTAAAGCTAAATGTGAAAAGTTACGTAATTTTTTTTGTGTTCATAAAAATACACTTTAGTAATCAAATGGAATGCGTTTGTGAATTGACAACAGCTGTCTATATTGAATCTTACATTCCAGGTGTTCTTCACGATTTTCTTAGGTCTCTTTGTATATCTCATGTGTATATGTGGCTACTGAAATGGTTTTGTTTAAGCTGTGCACCGGGAATTAACAAATGGTGTTGGGTTCAAATTAGCCTGAAAATAAATGTCCCTGAATCTCTTTTCCCTGTGGATTATGCCTTTGTTTCATTGTATGATGTTGTGTGGAATGGTAATGAGAATTTATCAATTTAAATTGTGATTACATTAAAATCAGCATTCATGCCTTGAAATGATAATGATGCTTAATGTTATAAACTGACTTTACAACGTAAATTAATTCACCAGGTGCAGTAGTTTATTTAACACAAATTTTTGGGACTATTGTAAATATGTTCATCTCTTATATCTTAGGAATGCTGTTGCCTTCCCTGTGTTGTAGGCTCTTTCCTGAGAACAGAGACATGGTTATGAATATTTTTACATGAAAATGCTTGAAAGTTCCGTGGAAAATCGATGCTTAAAAGATTATTCAGAATGCCTAGCACAAGGTGTTCCTGTGGACAGAACAAAGCCATGTGGCACAGTGATCAAACACGGAAATTCTAGTTTGGATGGATTACTTTTTTATAATACAGAATTGGATTAGTGTTTTTGCAAGCTGGATACAGCATTACGTTTTGTTTTGATACCAAATTTAGATTTTTGTCTTGCCATTTTTTTTCTAAGTGTGCACAGTATCATGGCATGAGCTTTTGTGTAAATTTGGAACTCGCAGAGCATTGCATCTAATATAACTACTTCTGAGATCCCTAATGTGACCTTTATACTGTATACACACACCCATATACCCAGCCTTAGACAAATGCTCATCCCATGACAGGAAAACCCTTCTCAGAACCATGAACTCGCTACACATTTGTTGACATGTGGCTGAATTCAAACACGAAGGCTCTTAGCAGTGCTGGCACAGTGCTCAGCCACCTTTTTGCTCTACAACTTTATAACCTTACATTTTTTGGTGGTTCGTATGAAGAACATTTGTTAATAGCTTGAGTTTGCCAATATGCATCTTTAAAGAAAAGCTATCTTCAGAAAAATTGGCAGTGGATTGATCGGCAAGGTATTGTGGTTAATTTGTGGAAAAACAGCTTTTTAGTTCATCGGATTCCTCCAGTATAAATATATATTCAGATTCAGAAATGTTGGCAATTTGACGTGATACACGGATATTTATTAAAGTATTACATCTTTCATTTCAAAAACAGTTGATTGAATGTGTGCTTTGTGTAGCTTACCCAAAGTCATGTTCAGCCCCATGTCAATCCACTGCTGGATAAGGGCATCCTCCCACTTTAGGTAATGGTTTTGTTATACCATACTTCACGCTGGCCCGTGCAGGTTGAAGATGGGGGGGGGGTCACTTGGTCCGATTCCAATATCACTCGCCACCGATGTTAGTCGTGGATGGGAATAAAAATTAGGTTCGCTGGGTTCATAGCACAAGATGCTAATCACTGCACCATCGCTTCATGCCACAGCCCTCTGGGAAACATTTGAATAGAAGTTCGCGGATGACGCACGCATTATTATGGCTGCAGTAAACGGTTTCAAGCCAAGTTGTGCGTTTCCACGTGGGGGCATTGCTGAGACTAATTTCACAACTTTGAAGCAAGTGAAAGCTTAGTTCCCCCCCCCGCAGCCCCGCCTCGCGAATCCTATTTTTGTTTTACCATTTCAAATTATTACACAATTAATCTGTGCGTCTACTTATTACACACTCGTGCGACATTGCCTAAAGAAAGTTTGTTGTTGCCACGGTTTAAAATCACTCGCTCATTGATTTATGTGCCCAATTGCATTCCCATTTGGATAGATTTCTGTCCAGAAATCGGCACGTCGGTGATTGCGCGTTCTGCCGCAGCCGCGTGGTACTGGATCTGCGAGCGTTAGCAATAATACTGGATGCTGAAATGGGCGAAACTGGAATAAAATACGGGAGGCTTTAACCTTGTGGCTGCCAGGTGTGGTCTCAGCGGGGCTTACGGACACATGCTACATGGCAATGAGGCTCGGCTTACATTTACTGCCGTCTGGCCCACCGTTTATAATGATGGGCAGGGTGGGTCTTGAGATGCAGTTGCATTTACATTGTACCTTACTTTGTCAATCCACTGCTGGATTAAGGCTTCCCGCGCCATCTCTGTCACGCGGGGGTTTGACTTTGTATTTGAGAAAACCGCAACGCCACCAGTAAGCATGCCTTATGGGCTTCATTAAATAATGAAATCACTTGTCAATAGTGTTCTTTGGTGTGTTATATGAATAATAATGCGAATACTTCTATCGATCCACTGTTGGATGAAGGCCTCCCCACGCCCTTTTGGTCTTCGGGGTGGTTTGACCTTTGACCATAATTTACCACGCTGGTCAGTGTAGGTTGGTGGAGAAGGAGAGGCCATGGACCGGTACATATATCTCTCGCCACTGATGTTATCCGTGGGCAGGAATCCAACTCAGTGCTTCGGATTCAGAGCGCAGTGCGTGAACCACTGTGCTAAAAGATCGTGTCCAGTGCGTATGCAATGAAATTACATTTTCGCATTCAATTATTTTGCTCATCCTGAAATGTTACATTTCATTGTCCATTCGCACATGTTGCTTTGTAACAGTGTAACACGACGTGACGGCAACACGATTGTGACTGCTACTCAATACTAAATTATCTAAGCTCACCCCGGGCCCAGAGTCTAACCCTTCAGAAGCAGAATCTTCATTGAGACTGGAGGAATCCGATGAGCTAAAAATCTCTTTTTCACAGATGTCCAACCAAAAACATGTCTTCCATCAGTGCGAACATCAAAATTCATCGTGTAAATGTGTCATCTGACAGACGTAGGCTACTGTGTAGCGGTGGCGCAGTGGTTAGCGCACTGCGCTATGAAGCAGTCGACTTTGAGTTGATATCCGACCACGGCTAGTGATAATCTGTTATCTGTTTGTATTCGATTAGCCTGTACGTCATTTTACACATTAACAATTTGTTTCAGATCCAATGTCTGTGCCTTCATATGAATACTGGCACAATATACCAATATTCTATGCGTGCAACAAAACCCATCTTTGAACGTATATGTCCCCATGTAATCTATTTTCTCTCCCCTTCACCAACACGCACTGAACAGCGTGGTGAAGTATGGTAAAACAACCCGTCTGACAGAGCGTGGGGGGAGGACTTCATCCAGCAATGTAGTGGAAAAGGGCTGGAGATTAGTGTTAATAACGTGGGATCAATACGTACATATTGATCCTGATGTTTAAAAAATATAGCAGTGATCGAAGTTTGATTTTTGCACACATCATTTGGCATTATAGAACACATGTTCCTTATTGATATACATTTTCTATATATATAAAACATCACATCGTTCGGAATAATTTAAGTATTATCAAAATAATGGGAAGTAACATGTCATTCTGTCACGTGTGTATACATCACGGCCTTCACCCTATATTTAGGTGCCCTGCAAATTCGCAGCCATCTCGCTTGCCTTGGCTATTTCCAATAGTATGAATTATTTACCTCACGATACGTTAATCTAAGCTCGGTTTTTATACTCATAGGTAACATGCAATGAGTTTGCGTGACCCCTACATAGTGCATCGATTGTTGGATTGTATCATGATTCGCTAAAATTAGCCAAATCTCACCCCAACTATTTTCACTGGTCAGTGACAACCGAAATATGGTCAAATAACCCCCACAATCTGAGAGGTGTGGGGAAGCCCTCGTACAGCAGTGGGTTGACAAGAGGGCCGTACATGTACAGGGTGTTTGAAAAAGATGGACCAGATTTGAAATCGCTATATCTCTGCAACCACGAACCGCCCATGAATGAAACTCTTACCACTTGAAAGGGCGGGGCATAGAGAGGGCGGGGCATAGAGTTTCAAATGATCACCGCTAGATGCCTCTCCCAGCACACAAACAGCCCCTAGCCTCAGTCATTCGCAAGACACACTGTCTCAACGTTGGATAGGTCGCACGGTGCCGCAACGTTGGATAGGTCGCACGGGACCCCAAGACTTGGCGCTACACTCTTGGCCCCCAAGATCACCCCCAGACATCATTACACCCTGCGACTTTTTCTTGTGGGGATACGTCAAAGACCCGTGGTGTTTTGTGCCACCATTAGCGACTGATCTGGATGACCTCAAAAACAGAATCACGGCAGTGGTGACTTCAGTGGAAGAGAAGACACTTTGAGAGGCGTTTGGGACGAATTCAACTATCGTCTCGATGTTGTCCGTAAAGCAGGTGGAGGGCACATAGAGCATTTATAAAATGGTTAGTAAAACTTGATAACTCATTAACCCGTTCGTAACTTTTGGTGTAATTGTAACATGTTGCCATCGTGATATATAGTGCTTTTAAATTGGGTCGAATATTTTAAAACACCCTATTTATTATCATTGCAGGTGCATAGCCCATCGTGGGGAAGTTACTTCCATGAAGTTTGCTAACTTCAACTGCCATGTGCCACTTAAAGTATGCATTTTAGAAAAAGATTGACCGTACATTTCTGAATAATGCAAAATGTAAGGTTGACAGCGTAAATGCATTCGCTCTGTCCGCCCGTCCGTCTGTCTGAGACAGGGAAGGGTCACGACAACTCCTTTAAAGATTGTCCAAATGTTAATGGATTTGTATAATGCAGTGGTGTTGCTATTACCGAATCGCCCTATGGACAAGCGGGGCAAATGTCTTTCATTGCCTCTTGTGATGTTGCCTTGGTGTGTCACCCGTCAAAGACCGTTGCAAGGCGCAAACAGCTCTACAAACAACTCTGTCTGCCGCTATATTACGCACAGAGTGTCACGAGTTGGCATTGACAGGTTCCGTTTGGCTGTGGCTGGCGTGGCTTGGCTTGTAAGGGGTCAGAGGTGAGGGCTGAGGTGTGAGGGGTATTTATAGTAGAACCCAAAAGTCTTGTACACAATGTTAAATATTTATGCGAGCGCACACACGTTTACGCGAAGGCACCGCACGAATGCAGTGCAATGCAAGAGCAAAGACAAAGCTGCACCGTGTAGCCTCCAGAGAATGTTGGAGCGAGTGCTGTGAGCGAGCACCTATTAAGTGCATATGAATGTGTCGGGGTTGTGGTGAATTGCCTTTCA